TAGGGTGTGTAAAACACAATTATCGTGCAGCTCATGGGGAGCTTAAGAGAGATGATGTAATACAATGAGGAGAGCAGAGATGAAGAAAAATATAAACACTTCTGAGGTCACCGTGCCTTTTTGGCATCGAAAGACCGAGCTGGAAAGAATTGAAAAGGCAAGCTGGGAAGAAAGAGAATTATAAAGAAAACTCACGAATGTTCAACATGAATCTTAAATATGGAAGGCTCGAATACAAACGAAACGCGTGCGCAGACAGAGCATAGAGAGGAATACAGAAAGAGAGAAAGAGAACATAGATGGAAAATAATAAAATAGATATGTCCACAGGAAAGTAGATTAGTTAAATATATTATTATGGGCTTATATAGATTGTTAGTAAGACAGACAGACAGACAGACAGACAGACAGACAGACAGACAGACAGACAGACAGACAGACAGACAGACAGACAGACAAACAGATAGATAGATAGAAAAAATATAGACAGATAGACAGATAAACAAAAGAACAGATAAATAGATAGATAGAGAGAGTAAGAGAGAACGAGTAAGAAAGAGATAGATAGATAGAAGATAGATAGATAGATAGATAGATAGATAGATAGATAGATAGATAGATAGATAGATAGATAGAGAAAGGGAGACTGTGAAAGAAGAGATAGATAGATAGAGATAGAAAGAGAGGGAGTGAGGGAGAAGGAGGTTGGCAGAGAAAGCCCAGAATTCGTGGCAATAAAATGTTTCGAAGGGCTACTACTGTCAACAAACAATTTTCTTGAGAAATCAATTTGAAGCGTTGAAAGATAAGAGGCCTTTTACATAAAATCTAGAATAATTCATAAACCGACGACATTCTTTGCATGCTCTAAAGCAGCAATCTTGACAGTAATTAAATCTATTACCTTTGTAGGCTATTGTGATGACCTTGTAAAATACCATTTCGTTGTAAAAACATTACACAATCTAAACTAGGCTATAATCCCCCACCCCCACCATAACAACAACAAAGACAACAACAACAAAATAAAATTAACACACACCAGAGGTGACCTTTTTTTGCTGACCTGGCTCAAAACTCTAGACATGTGAAATTAAGAAAACCAAGGCAGTCAAGTTTTAACACAGGCACTGGCCCAACAGTCCCTTTTTTGGGGGGAGGGGGGTGGTCTTCTTTTAAAAAAAAGGAAGAATTGCGCTTGACGGTCACAAGCGAAGCTATGGGAAGATTTATTTAACCAAAGAACCGAATTATGTTTATGCAGATAAGTGAAACCCTTGTTCTTTCTTTCTTTTTTTCCTTTTTTTTCTCTAAGTGTTTTACGCACGGCGTTCGCAGCTGCAAAAGGCTATATGAGCACGCGGGACACACCACACTTTTTCGGTGGGCAGGAATTTTTGAATTTTGCCCGGGTAGCGGCCGAAGCCTACTCTTATCGATTTTAGACCACCGAGGGATCTTTAACGTGTGCAACTTGCACACGGGATCTCCGAGATTTTTCGCCCTTGTCCGAATAGGCTAGGTGTAAATTATCTTTCCTACCAGAAGATCCGGGGTGTGTTTGAAAGACAGCAGTAAAAAGGAGCCAAGGAGTAGCTGTAGAAAGGCTGCAGAAAGAGTCAGGAGCCCAGAGGAGGGGGCAAAGAGGTGAGGGTGTGGGGGCAGAAAGAGGAGACGAAAGCAGACGACAGAACATTGCTAGAGAGCAGGAAACGAGGTGAAAGGAGATAATTTTAGAGAAGAATCTTTTTCGGTTGCTACCCGGATTCGAACCAGGGACCTTTGAATGAGAGGCCAACACCTTAACCTCCAAGTCATGAGAGCCCCCACCTCTTCTTCAGGAAAGGGGAAAGGCGCTGCTTTGGTATGTTCTGTTCATCTTTCAAACTTACAGGCCATCTTAAGATTATGATGGACAAACTAATTACTATTACAATTATCCTTATTATTGTTATTGTTATCACCATCATCATTATTACCATTATTACCATTATCCTCATCATTATTATTATAGTTATTATTGTTATTATTGTTATTATTATTATTATTATTACTATTATTATTATTATTATTATTATTATTATTATTATTATTATCATTATCACTTTTATTATCATTATCAGTATTACTTTTTCAATGTAGGACCCTTTTTGATCCTCATCTCTACCCACCTTCTCTCTCTCTCTCTCTCTCTCTCTCTCTCTCTCTCTCTCTCTCTCTCTCTCTCTCTCTTACTCTTTCTCACTCACTCACTCACTCACTCACTCACTCACTCACTCACTCACTCACTCACTCACTCACTCACTCACTCACTCACTCACTCACTCACTCACTCACTCACTCACTCACTCACTCACTCACTCACTCACTCACTCACTCCCCGCCCCTGTCCCCGTCCCCTCCCCACAGACACCATCATATTTCCAAAGAGAGGTGTATCACTCACCTCCAGGACTGCCAGTGTGTGAGCTTCCTTCTCCCTTCTCCTTGCTGATGTCCTTGTGGGAGACGAGGAAGAGCACCACATCTCGCTTCTCGTTCTTGATGGGCACGATATCCAACAGGCACCAAAACGGAGTTCCTAGAAGATCAGAGGGAAAAGCAGGTTTACGGATAATGGCAGAAAAAATGTTACTCAAAAAACAAGGTTTCCCATTAGGCAATGCTGTGGTCTGTGCTAAAACTAAGGAAGAAGAGTGCAATCAGCGTATATCTACAAGTGGAAGTGCAGCTATTCAATGCTAAAAATGTGTCAAACTTTTCTCTGCCAAACGCTGAAGTTAACATAATAATATGGTTCTTGAATGCTATCCCGAGTTTAAGTATTCCCACAAACTTAGATTTGAGCTTTGGACAAAAAAGTGATACATCAGTTGATCACTAACTACACCATAGCAGGAGACAACTTAATCATAAATATATAAATAACTCGCTTTTGGAAATAATCGACGATCGCACCATATGCATTTTCACAATAAAGGACATCACTACAAACAACTTGCATTATGTGGGACATGAAATCACAATCCACTAGGAGAGGAGAATTTTTCATTTTTAGGCACATAATTATTACACGGCAGGCATACGTTTCACATAAATTCTAAAGCATGCCACATTCATTCGACGAGCTATACACGTTTAAGATAAAGTTTGCAAGTTTCGTTGAAAGGTAGTTAACAAGTACCAAGACACATTATAAATAGTCCCAATTCTACTGCTTCTTTTATCATAACTGGTGATCGGTCGGAATAATTAGGGACTCAGTGGAGAAAGAAAAGATGAAAAAGTACTTTTAACAATGACCTAGCTTGGTCAACGCGTTATAAATCTCTTGAAAGAACGAGTTTGAAGAAAAGCATTGGCTTTTTCCTGTGAGTTTTTTAACTTAAAAAATTGCAGCGTAACTATTTCAGGGATGCTGGTGCTTAAAATAGCTCGTAATGACTTAACGGTTGAGGGCCATAATTCCACTTAAATACCCGTCATTGGGAGGAATAAACTGGACAGTGATTCCAAAACAGGAGTCCAGGGGAGAAAGGGGGGGGAGGGTGAAGGACGTAAAAAGGACATGAAACCCAGTATCATAAACATAAATCAAACACGCACTTGATTAAAAAGATGAGTTGAGGCGTCTGCTAAAAAAAAAAAAAAAAGAAAATAACCAAGAATCTGAGAACTGCGTCAGTGGTTGGAGTGAAACAAGGGACTAGATGCAAGACAGCCAATTTGGGAAAGTTAAAGACTAATACGAAGTGTGGGAACGAAGGGGGTGGTTCCTTTTAGAAAACAAAAATACGACTGTATAGCATAGGAATAAACATTTCGGCCACCCTTTTTACAGCAGTTTTTATTTTCGGGTCGCGAAAAAAGCTGAACGGGTCTGACCGCAGGTTGTGATATTCTTTTTAAAAAATAATTAGGATTATTCTTGTACTGTTTTGGAAAAACTAACTAAAATTAGCTCACGATATCAGAAAAGAAGAAACCAGAGAAGAACGCTGAGAGTCAAAACAGCTGGTCAGTTGAACTTTCAACAGACGGTGGAAGATTTAAGCCGTCCAGAGCCTGGCGATACACTCTCTTTACACGGTACAGTGAAGTTGATGCTCGTAGTTTTAGGTATGAACGGAAAGTGCAAACTTAACTCTCTCTCTCTCTCTCTCTCTCTCTCTCTCTCTCTCTCTCTCTCTCTCTCTCTTTCTCTCTCTCTCTCACTCACACACACACACACACACACACACATACACATACACACAAACGCACACACACACACACACACACACACATAAACACACACATACACACGTGAATAATTTATGATACAATAGAACAGCGACGCATTTCAAACATCTATATAAAACAAATAATACCAAAAAACCCACATTCACCCCCCCCCCCCCCCCCCAAACCAATCTTCCTCTCGCTTTCCCTTTCTTCTTCCCCTTTCCCTCTCCATGTCATTTGCAGTTTGCTTTCATACCGCAGTGGGCAAAAACAAGGACAATGATAACGAAATCATGCCCTTTCTTTCTCCAATTATCATAGTTGGCAGGCACCAATACACATCAACAAAAAGACAAGGACGTAAACTACAAAAAGTAACAGAAGACAGAAGGAAATTGGCAAAACTCAGTAACATAAAGAAGAAGACGCACATACATTTTTAAAAAGTTATCTTTCTACGGTCCTTGACCCCCCGTCAGAATCTTAAATGTCTTGGGAAATGGAAAGAATGAAAGAACGAACGAAAGAAAGAAGAAGACAGGCAGAGAAGTGCGTGCTGGGACTACTCAACTCTCGGCCGTCTCGTCAGTTATCGATCACGCGCATGCACTGACATGCCGATTTGTACGCGTGAGATAGGAGCACAGGGGTAAGAGAGGATTACTTTGAGATGGGTTTCTGGGAGAGGGTCTTTATGCAGGCTAGTGGGGGAACGAGAGATGAACGTCCGGACTGGCGTTAGGGTAATTAAAGTTCACAAATGTGGGATAATTCAAGGTTTGTTGTAACAGAAAAAGAGACGATAAATAGATGAACTATGAAGACAGATAGAGACAGATGGAAAGAGAGGGAAAAGGAGTGTGTGTGTATGTGTGTGTGTGTGTGTGTGTGTGTGTGTCTGTGTGTGTGTCTGTCTGTGTGTGTGAGAGAGAGAGAGAGAAAGAGAGAAAGAGAGAGAGAGAGAGAGAGAGAGAGAAAGAGAGAGAACTAGAGAGAGGGAGAGACACGGGGGGGGGGGGGGGGGGGGAGATGAGAGGTTGGTGAGAGAGGAGAGAAAGCGAGGAAAGGCGGTATATACACTGAGACTAAAGTAGCTGGTTACTAAAGTGCGTATAAATAGCAAGGAGGATTGACAGAAGGACGGATTGATCAAGAGATAGATAGAAAGTAAACTGAAAAGGGTGCTTTATAGGGGTTCTCTGGTTGATCGACTAATCATTACGCAGACGGTAATTTTCTTCTCAGTGATTGAACTCTTAATAATATAGGCCTTTCGAATTCTATTCCGCCTTCGGGCGTAACCAATGCGTCAGCTAATTTGACAATATTACAAACTTACCTATATTTCTGCTCTTATCTAACCAATTTTAATAGAATGCACACCAAATTGAGTAGTAATAAACAAAGGTTTGGTCATAATATGATGTATTTGCTGGTGTTTCGTAGATTTTTGTTACGACAGCAAACAGCCAAGCAATGTACTGCGTCGGCTTAAGTGCGGGTCGTGTACTTAAGAGTTAATTAAGTGTTCCTATGCCTACTTGGCTTGCACAAAATGGTCCCCCCAAAAGGACAGCTGAAATAAAATGGTGACAGGAGACACTGTAGCACAACGCCATGCTAGATAGGAAGTACCTCGTCTTGTAAAGTTCGATTTGAAGAGTGAATACTTATTTTTCTAATACAAACCTCATCTTCAAAGCACACACACACACACACACACACACACACACACACACACACACACACACACACACACACACACACACACACACACACACATACACACACACTGATATAAGATATGTGAAGCAATCCTCAGGTAGGTAAATGTATGCACGTAAATGTATTTGTATATCCTGGAAAACTGGATAAATCCGACTGAGAAACGACCTTTAAATGAACGGTCACAGGAGGGTGTCACAGGCGTCTGTTGTATAAAGGTTGTCGCACACATAAGACCCAAGTTCGATTCTCATGATGGGGAGAATTTTTATCGCTTTGCTAAGTCTATCTGCTTTGAAGGGGCTCTCGTGGCCTAGAAGTTAAGGTGTTGGCCTCTCATTCAAAGGTCCTGGGTTCGAATCCGGGTAGCGACCGAAAAATTTTCTTCTCTAAAATGGTCTCCTTTCACCTCCTTTCATGCTCTCTAGCAATGTTCTGTTGTCTGCTTTCATTTCCACTTTCTGCCCCCACCACCTCACCCCCTTTGCCTCCTCCTCTGGGCTCCTGACTCTTTCTGCAGACTTTCTACTGCTACTCCTTGGCTCCTTTTTACTGCTGTCTTTCTGCCACACCCCTGACCTTCTGGTAGGAAAGATCTACACCTAGCCTTCTCGGACAAGGGCGAAAAATCTCGGAAGGCCCGTGTGCAAGTTGCGCACGTTAAAGATCCCTTGGTGGTCTAAAATCGATA